GTACGGATCCAAAACTTGGAAAACTACAAACACCACCAATACGTACAGGTAATTATAAACAGATTTCTACACAAGTTACTCCAGTCTTCAGTAGTAAGGATAGGTCAATTGATCCATAAATGAATCACTATAGATAATTAGTAATCCTTGCACTATGTAGTGCTGTAGAGAATCAACCTATTAATATCTCTAGGCTTTGGGAAATGAATAACTGCAGTACATTTCTAAGGTGGTTTACGAATTCTGATGAGGTTATTTGCTAATATAGCGGAACCAGTTAACTAGCTGTAACAATAGTTATAATGAAATATAAAGAACACTTTCTTAGTTGCCCAAAAAATGCATTTTCAGTGACAGACTTCTTACTAGTCAGTGTGGAGAACTCATGAACAATTAGTTCTACTTCGAATAACGAATAAAACTAGTACCGTGAGATTGATTTCGGATTTTTAAACGCCCACGAGATCTGCTAGGTCAACTTGAGCACTCGCGCGCTTTACGAACGTGAGGGTCAGAGTTGAGAATGCTGATCAGCCAAGGTCTTGTAAGAAAATCTGCAAATGAATCGGCTGTGCAATCTACCTCTTATGTTATGCGATCAGTCAACATGGGAATCAGTAATGCGGTTGAAATGCCGAAAAAGCACCCTAGTTCTAATTTGTCTGAAAACCTGGGACAGAGATCACAGTTCGCGATGATTTCCTAGTTGTCATGAACTTCAAACTCAGCTCTGAGCTTTCTCTCAGTTTGCAGGACGAAAATGACAGGCTTCTTAGGGAAGAAATAAACAGGTAGCTCGAACTTCCAGAATTTGACTCACCAACTGTTACACAGCTTTCTTGAGGGAAGTATACCAATACACCAATTTCTCGACACTTGGTAATATGCATCGTTTAACATAAAGTAAGCTTGTCCATGGAATGGACCAGCGAAGTCTAAATGTATGCACTGCCACGGTGACTGTGATATTGGCCATGATTGCAACTCTGCTTTTCGCGGTACTGTTGTTGCCAATGCACATTTTGTACACGAACGGGACAGCTGCTCCAGTTGGGCATCTAATTGTGGCCAATTTACATAACTTCGTGCTAGCGCTTTCATACGATTGATTCTAGTATGTCCTGTGTACAACTGTTCAAACACTGTTAGTTGCAATTTCTTTGGAATTATGGCACATTCGGAAAACAAAACTCAGTCATGGATGATTGAGAGAGATAGTCTGCGCTGACAAGACTGCTGAAGCTCCGAGGAGCTGGTGATTAATCTAGCAGCATGAGCAATTATCTTTTCTGATTTGTCCGGAAACATGTGAGATATCACTGCTCCAACTCCATGACTGGAGACATCAGATGCAACAACAATTCCCAAGCTGGGATCGAAGTGTGTCAAAAGAAGCTTTAAGCTGAGCATCGATTTGAATTTGTCAAAAGATGTTTGGCATCCTGCTGACCACTGCTAGAGTTCGCCTTTTGACAGCAATTCATTCAGGGGACCTCTCACTCAATGCATTTCAGGCAGAAATGTGCTGTAATAAACATCGTACTGCAGATCACCAGCGTGAGTGACCCATATCAATGGTTGAAGTTACTGGCGTCGGAAGAGTATGTTGTGATCTCCTAGCTTACTTTAAAGTCACTCGTTGAGGTCACTACCTAACTTAGATCACTCACTTATGGTTATTTTGACGACCATATAGAACATACATGATATTATTCAAGAAATTTGTCAGTTATGTGGCGGTTTGTGTCTACGCGGAGGGTACTTTGTGTACTAGGGTATTATGCAGTGTGGCTTGAGTAAAGAGAACCATAACGGAGAAGAGTGATGACGCAACGGATGTTCTAGTTTTTTAACAAGCTACCAGTAGCACCTTCTATATTCGATCGTTCTCAGTCAGATAGAAAACAGAAGTCAGACGAGAAGAGGCAGGAAAGATATATTTGATTCGTTACCAATATATCGAGGACCTTTTCTATAAGCTGGCTAATGAAACGTAGGAGCTGTGTCCCACGCCGAGTCGAAACGTGATCTGGTGCGGATGCATGACCGAAAGCCTTCAGCTAAACAAGTCCACTTAAACAACGTGGTCAGCATCCAATGTCGAACACTTAATGAACTATTGATTTTGGGGAATTATTTACAGCTACAAGAGCAACTGTAAAAGTGAGTCTATGACCAAGCAAGCGCACACAACACATTAAAACTTACTACGGAAAGTAAAAGACAACAGTCAACAATGACACAGGCTTTAGAAAAGGAAAATCTTGGAATCAAATCTAGAAGCATATAGTTCAACCTTCCTCAGTTACAATAAGTTAGAGGAAGACTTCAATTTCAGCCACACCAACCAGTCTATGGCGAGCAGTTGACCAATGAGCGTTGATTGTCTTGATCTTAATAGGGATCAGCAAACTGTTGGACTTCTAGTAACTTGGCAGCTTGAACCAAGTGAACTTTGACAAGGCCATGTCGAATATTATATTGGGTGTAAACTTGTTGCTACCAAGTTACAAGGTGTAGTAGATGAGAGATGCTACATTTACACCTGATCCATACATAGCTCAGGGTTGAGCAGTGTCTGAGCAGATGAAAAATCTGACTTTTATTCACTTAACACGAATTTCGAACATCACACAAAATACTCCGATATAGGCAACAATGTAGTCAAACTAGACCCTTCAATTATGTCTCTCAGAAAACTGATGAATGCTTCAATGAAAAAAAACATTTCGAAACAACTTTACTGAATCTACAATCCGTAATGCCAACTATTTATTAACAACACGTCCATAAAGAAAACAAGACACTCTCATGACTACAATAACTCAATAAAGTTTTTCTGACTGACAAGGATGTGATTAACGAAATCTTATGGTATCTCCAGTTTCAACGATCTCCATGGAACAGTCATTACGTGCTTTTGATGACAACGGTATTACTTAATTACGCCCGTAACTCCCAAAGAAACAGGCCGCTGACCACCATTCTCCAACCCACTCTGTACTGTGCCTTCCCTTCTAGTTTTATCCGATTTTTTTTCATTTTTCTGATGTCTGTCTGCATTTCTCAGTGTAATTCGTTTTTTCGTCTTCTTTTTCTGCTTTGGCCTTCAGTGTTCCGAGTGAGTGCTTGCCCTGTCACGTAGTTGGGTGCTTTCCTCAATGTGTGGCCTATCCACTTCCAGCTCTTCTTCCTGGTTTCTTCCTCCTCTGAATGAAATCTGGTTTGTTCTCTCCCGCAGTAGGTTGTTGCTGATAGTGTCTGGCCAACGGATCCTAAGTATTTTGAATGGAAAACTGTTAATAAGCACTTGTATCTTCTGGATAATGGCTCTCGTAGTTCACCAAGTTTCCGCCCCATACGGTAGAATTGTCTTGACATTTGAATTGGAAATTCTGATCTTGGTGTTGGTTGACAATTGTTTTGAGTTCCAGATGTTTTTCGGTTGTAAATATTTTGCTTTTCGCTTTGTCGATCCGCGCCTTCACATCTGCATCAGATCCACTGTGTTCATCAACGATGCTACCCAGATATGTGAAGGTTTCCACATCCTCCAAAGCTTCTCCGTCAAGTGTGACTGGATTATTGCATGTTGTGTTGTATCGGATAATCTTGCTTTTCCCTTTGTGTATGTTGAGATTTACTGCTACTACACTGGTCGTCTTCTCCTGCATTTGTTGTTATGTGTGTGATAGAAGAGCCAGATCATTCGCGAAGTCTAGATCGTCCAGCTGCATCCATTGGATTAAATGCTCCCATGAATTCGGTGTTCACCTTGTTGTGCTACTGAGCAGTAGCAAATTAAACCGATGCACGTATGTGCCTGGTTCGACGTTGTAGCTGACTGACTGAGTGACCACTGGTCAAATTTATGCGTTTTCGAATATCAGGTGAATTACTCGATGTTGTAAATAAGAATAGCGTATGGTTATTAGAATCATCAGAATTAATAAGATCCGTATTGTAGAGTTTAGTATAACCATCGGCGAAATCATGAGTTATTCTGTAGAATTTCGGTCCAGTCCAGTGCTAAGACTACTATAATACGAGGTGCGATCCCTATGTTGTAGATTGGTCATGGTTTTATCACGTACTTTATAAAATCTGACGTAGAAGTCCTATCATTGTATACACTGACTCATCCGATTTTGATCATCAGCGATATGACGTCTGGCATTTTTAAAGAACACGGTTGAGCCGAGAAATAGCAATATATTTTATACAAAAAGCAAGAAGTTATGAAGGGTGGCCATTTCCTCATGACCAAGACATGCTATTTTGATCTACTGCATTTCGCATTCCCCGTTGGTAACCTGCTCTTAATGTTACATGTTGCATGTAAATATTTTCAGTAATTATATTATCGGCTGTATAGATTATGTGTCTAGAAACCAATGCCACAACATTACTCTCCTAATACAGTCAACGTGATGTTGGTTTGATACCCAAGTCGAGTGGGATTTTCGCACGCTAGAGGTTACCAAAAACATACTAAGATAATGAAAATGAAGACAGCAGCAACTGATCAGGAAGAACATAAGTGGTTTTTAATATGTTCAGTTTAATCCTCAATTCGTTCAAAATTAAAATTCACGCAAAGATTATTGAGGAGTTAAACACATCGGGATTATAATAATGAAAAATTATTTAGAATAGTGATATTTTAACAAGTCACACCAAGATACACAGTCTAGTAGCAGTGGATCACCACTACATCCAGGCAGAAACGAGGTATATTAATGATAATGGGAAAGAGGGAAATCGGTAAATCATAATAAGATGTTATCCTTAGTCTTTAAAATAGGTCAAGGTTCCTCCTAACGAACTTCTGAGAAGTCGCTTAGCTAGTTCAGTCCTAATGGAATTGCAACATTTGATAACACTTAAGGACAACTCTTAACAATGTCAAACATCCTTTTAGACAACTGGCATGATGACTCAATCTATAAATCCAAATACGCATAATAGGCGTTAGGTGTAGATCTTTACAATTCATTGAACTGCATTATAGGACAAATTTAAATAACCGGGAGCATCTTTTTAACCTCTTGCGTTACGACGCATCTCGAGGATATTTAAAGCCTCATGGTCAGTTTGGGATATGCCTCCTTAGGAACCTTACTTAACCTTGGTTCACTTTCTTATTTGTACGCTTCGTTTTCAGATCTTAATTTTTAGCATAGAATATCTAGCTGAAGTAATCTCTTAATAATGACAACTATCCTGTAAACGTGACGCTCCATGGACTCATATATAGCGAAATTTTCATTTTGAACAAATCTTTCTGAAATTTATCTATTTCAAACACTCAAGCTCCGCATTTCTGCACGGAATTATAGTTTGTAACGAGTATTTGGTAGTGTCAACAACTTTGAATATGTCTTCGAAAAGACTGAGGGGTTCTGTGGCAGTGTCTGTCATTGAAAGGTGTACCTCAGAAGTACGTAAATCTTGTGAAAACTCTACAATTGAACACTACCAGTCGAGTAAAAGTTTATGGTGAACTGTCATCTGATTTTACAACCTAAAGTGGTGCCCACAAGGCTGTCCACTTTCCCCATTTTTGTTTAATTTCATTATAGACCTGTTGCTGGAAATAACACTCTCGTCGACTAAATTTTCAGGAATTGATCTCCTACCAGGGGGACCACTAAGCGACTTAGAATACACAGATGACAGTCCTGTTTGGTGAAGACGCTAACAAAATACAGTCCTCTGTTATCAATGAGTAACAATGCCAGGATATTTGGAATGCGTTTTTCCCCATCTAAATGCAAGTTGTTGCTGCAGGACGCTTGCATCAACACCTGAACTAAGGATGAGTAGTTTAGTAGTCGAACGCGTCGACAACTTCACTCATCTTGGAAGTCTGATCAGCCCTAATGGGTTGGTGTCTGACGAAATCTCAGCACGGATTCAGAAAGCTCGTTTGGCATTTGCCAACTAACGTCACCTATGGCGAAGACAAGATATCCGTCGATCAATAAAAGGACAAGTATACTGCGCGGCAGTTTGTTCTGTTTTATCTAATGGCTGTGAGACGTGGACATTAGGAGTAAAGTAAACACGTTATGGGTTGGTGTCTGACGAAATCTCCCGAAAACCACATTCGTAAAACAGTAAAATTATCGATGCCACAGGAAGGTCTGTCGACTTAATAATAAGTACCTAAAAGTTTCTGGCCATGTATTCCACTTTTCCTGTTTACTTCGCACATTGAACGCAGTATCAAAACAATTTAACCATAATCTGTAAAAACTGCACTGTCGCGACAAATCAACATTTCTGTAATTAAAATACCGGTGCGTTACAAATAAAAAATGTTTATTGAAGTTTAATAAAGTATAAACTACCCATTAATACATTGCTTTCCCAAATTCTTAACAATTAGTCATGTGTTTTGAATAAGTACATTATGTTGATGTTGAACTTTCATTCACAGTGTTCTACAAAAGAAATTTACTCTTCAGCACTACAAACGCGATCTCAAAACAACCAAATGGCTAATATTAAACAAACAAATGTCATAACAATCATCCAACATATGGTTCCATAGTGCTATGTCAAAGGTTGATTACGTACCAACGGTATAACTATATGTTCTGAATAAAAAAGTTAGATCTGTTAACATTTGCGAAGCCAGTTGAAAATAAGATGGACAATAAATAATTATTTCAGTATAAATTTTTCTCAGATACTAATATAAAAACAAAACGGTATTTAATCACAGATCTAAAGTGCATTCAGCTCATTTTTTCTTTGGATCTCCATCCACTCTTATTTACTTTATCTCTTGCATCGTGTAAGAGAATCTAGCTTGCAACATCCATGGCTAGTGTTACTTCTTTTTCTGGACAGGCTGCATTTCGGAACCGTGAACAGAGAACATCTACAAATATATTAAGACTGTGATGTGGACTTACTTTGAATCGTCCTGTACAATCTATAATTACTGGTACTTTTTTACTTCTAGTCCCACGTAAAGGATAAGTAATTGTCAGTTCCGGCATCAACACGTATGCTAGATATGCTTTGGTTAATTTCCGAAGATCATCACATACGATCTCGGGAATTTGGCCACCTAAAATTTTATAAACACTTGTCACAACTTATGAACTGATCACGAAACTTGAGCTCCTCCGAAGCAGCTTCAAGATTACGCATTTCCTCAGGTGTTTCTTATGGGAATGCGAAACTAGTAGTGTCTATGCTAACGATGTACCTGTCCTTCACACCCATGGATGAAGTTTTGACGAAAGCAGTAAATTTTGTCAATCTTGTTCGACAGATCACTGGTTCCTTTCAGTATCATTTTGCTATGGTCATTGTGCAACCTATCAGTATCGTGTTTACATTTACTACAATTTACGGTTTACTAACTTCCTTTGAAGTAGATGGAAGTGTTGGTGAGAAAACATCTGTTTACGATTAACTGTTTTATGAGCATGTATTCGATAGGTACTTACTTCGCTATAGGTGAGAAGTTCCCAATCAAAATGTTGACAACTGGAAAGTCGACTGTGACACACAGCTTCCATTTCAGCAACCCCTAGTTCTTCAGAGGCACACGAGTAGTCGTTCATTTTGCTTTAGACAGCCCTAATAATAAGTGAATTGCGTACGCTTATCAATTTACCTCTTCGGCTTCTTCGCTCCACACGGCAGCTTGTCATCCTCAGATGCATTTGTGCTTTTGTCAGTCAGTCAGCCAGCTACAACGTAGGACCAGGCACATATATGCCTCTGTCCAAGTTACCATACCTCGTTAGCACAACAAGATGAACACCGGATTCATAGAAGTAATTAATTTAGTGGTGGTAGTAGTATATAAATTATAGGTTGTATATAAGGATATAGTACAGTAAGGAAGAGAGATATGAAGCAATTTTAATCTCAAGGTTTAAGGGAAGATAAAGAGTGTATACACCTACGCCATTGTGATCGATTCTGAGCCATGTCACCTAGAGTCTCCAACCATTGGTTACGATAGTCACGCGGACCCCAACCAGGTAGTCTGCATCTGCCAACATGGCTCAGACTAGAAGTTAGTGACTTCAAACACTGATGCCATGTTTTGGTTTGGCCGCCCCTAACTCTCTTCCAATCATCCCCTACACTATTCATCATAACGCGTCGTGGTAATCGGTGTTCAGGCATACGTAACACGTGGCCCAACCATCTCAGTCGATGAAGATTCATCAACTGATTTACCATCGTTCCCTAATACCCTGCGTCTAACCTCACTATTACTTACCCGGTTATCCCAGCAGATGCGAGCAATATTTCTAATGCATCTGTGGTCAAATACTAGTAATCTACGACTATTTTCTACTCTTAATGGCCATGTTTCCCAGCTGTAAAGTAGAACAGAGCGAACTGATGCGCAGTATACTCGTCCTTTAATTGATAGACGGATATCTCGTCTTCGCCATAGGTGACGTAAGTTGGCAAAAGCCAAACGATCTTTTCGAATCCGTGCTGAGATTTCGTCAGACACCAACCCATTAGGGCTGATCAGACTTCCAAGATGAGTGAAGTTGTCGACGCGTTCGACTACTTCACTCCCTATCCTTAGTTCAGGTGTTGATGCAGGCCAGTCCTGGAGTAACAAATTACATTTGGATGGGGAGAAACGCATCCCAAACATCCTGGCATTATTACTGAGTTCCAACAGAAGACTGCATTTTGTCAGCGTCTTCACCAAACAGGACTATGTCATCTGCGTATTCTAAGTCGCTTAGTGGTCCCCCTGGTAGGAGATCAATTCCTGAAAATTTAGTCGACGAGAGTGTTATTTCCAGCAACAGGTCTATAATGAAATTAAACAAAAATGGGGAAAGTGGTTAACCTTGACGGACACCACTTTAGGTTGTAAAATCATATGACAGTTCACCATAAGCTCTCACTGCCACAGAACCTCTCGATCTACAAAGTCAAATGCTGCTTTTAAGTCAAGAAAAACTATAATTATCGGACGCCGATAAGCGTGTCTGTGCTCTAAAACTTGACGAATGGTGAATATGTGGTCGATACAGCTACGACGAGGTCTGAAGCCAGCCTGATTTTCTCGTGTTTGCAGTTCACGAGTCTTAGTTAGTCGCCTGATAATTATTGAGGCTAGTATTTTAGATACTATGTTAGTCAGACTAATCCCTCTATGGTTATCGCAGGATGATTTTGACCCCTTTTTATATATTGGGACAATCAGTGATTGTGACCAGTCGGATGGGATTACATCCGTCTCCCAGATTTTAGCCAGAATATTAGTCAACCTAATCGCTAAAATTGGACCACCATATTTAAAGACCTTTGGAGCCAATCCATCTGGACCAGCTGCTCTTCCTCGTTTCAGATTACTTATAGCCTTTTGAACTTCAAGTAGGGTCGGGGGGCCTACTTCAATGTTCCATTCAGGTTTTCTAGGAATAGTGGGTAGTTGTGCAGTAGCTGAAGGCCAGCTAAACTGTTCCTTAAAGTGTTCCGCCCATCGTTCTAAACGTTTGGGTTGAGAGCAGATAAGGGTTCCGTCTTTTTCGGAGATTGTCTCACTTACACTTGACTTCTTAATTCCGGTTTCTTTTATTAGTCTGAATAGTTGCCTAGTGTTGCCTACAGCCGCTGCCTTTTCCATCTCTTTTGCTTTCGTTGCCCACCACTGCTCACGATCGTTCCTTAGACTTTTAGTTAACCTAGATCTGATTTGCTTTCGCTCTTTATCGTGTTCAGAGCTTGATGGGATGAGTTTACGCGAATCCATCAGTGAAATAGACTTAGAAGAAATCCACTGGTTTTTTTGGGCCCTATGGTTTAAATGACTAATAGATGTTACTGATGTTTCCACAGCTGTTCGTATGTCTTTCCAAGCAGCATCTGGGTCAGTCTCGTTTACAGAACTCAGTTGTTTCTGGAATTCGCATTTGGCTTTTTCGTCCTCCAGTTCAATCTTAATGGGTCTTCTTGGTGTAGTTGTTCTGCGTCCAGTGAGGCGCAAACAAATACGTGCTCGTATTAAAGCGTGATCAGAGTCTAAACAAGTATTCCAATACGAGCGACAATCTTCTATTGAGCCTCTCCAACGATGACTGATGACAATATGGTTTATTTGAGTCCATCGTTGGTTTGGTGAAGGTGGTCGCCATGTTAGACGATGTCTCTCCTTATGTTTAAAGTTAGTGTTTGCTAAAAATAAACGATTGTCTAAGCATAGTTGCAACAGACGATCACCATTATCGGTTCGTTGAGCCGGAATACTAAAACACCCACCTAAATGTCTTTCTGTTTGATTTAAGCTGCCTACCTGGGCATTAAAGTCACCCGCTACCACTACTATTTCTGAGCGCTTAGCTTTTTGAAGTTCAGGGATCTTTCTGTAAAGGTCATCTTTTACTTCATCATGGCTGCAGTCAGTGGGAGCGTAGGCAGAAACGACGAAAAGGCAACGTGTGTCTCTATCCTTCCGTGTTCTTATGGAGTCATTTGGTCGAACAGCACATAGGCAACTGTTAACGACGACCCATTCTAGTAGTGCCTGTTCTGTCCTTGTACTAGGTGCTATGCCTACACCTGCAAGTCCATGAGAACTAGCCAACGGGTCGCCAGACACACGGAGGGTGTATTTCGTTGGCTGTCCATTTTGGCGAGGTGAGGTCAAGTGAATGACCACACTAGGATCCTGTATGCGTGTGTCGGAGACACAGCATACATCAATGGTACGAGATTCTAGGGTTTTAGCTAAGGAGGCCTGTTGACCGATTTGACTTAAAGTACGCACGTTGAAGGCTCCAATGTGTAGTTTGGAGCGAGGTTTTAGTAGACCTGGGACAGCGTTTCGCGCACTAGAATCGTTGGCCATGGTGACACTTGAGGAGGAAACCGAGAGAGGAAGTTTGGTGTTGCAAGTCAAGGTAGAAGGAATAGTAGGAATTGAAGAAGGAGATTGATTATGAATACAGTGGTCTTGAGTGCTGTTAGAGGTATGAGGGCAGTTATCACTTCCCGGTTGTCCACACCGTGAAAGGGTTCTTCTAGGGGTACCTGAAAAAGAAATTGGGTTAGAAGTGGTCTTAATGACCCGAGAGCGTGACCACAGTGCCCAACAGACAACTGTTTGAGGTCGGTAACACACGACCTTTTTGTGGGTAGTTTTTGTGTTAGCTCCGTTCTTCAAAGGACCTTACCGCCGGAGACGGAAATCCATGGGATAAGGCGAGGTGTGCATTTTTAGGGCCGACCTTTTCTAACCCCATCCCTCCTTGTGGGAAGGTAGCATCGCTGTCATGCTGGTTTTCTGAAGGAAACACATTACTGCTGTCACCTCTGCACAGTCAGCAGTACGACTTCGCCTTCAGACCTTGGGTTTGCTGCTTTTAGTCTCACCGCTCTCCAAACGACCTGCCTGGCATGGTAGGACCTTGAGGAACGATTGTTCCAGCCAGTATAGCTCGATTGATTCATCACGATAGGCAAGCCGGCCGACTGTAATAAAAGATACTTTCGGTTTATCATCTGGTATGGTAGTCATCTGATAACAATGGCTTCAAAGTGATGACAACATACCGCAATAATGTAATAGAGTGCACGCTCGCAGGAAGAATCGATTATCGTAGTCGATACTATCAAAAATATCGGTTACAGTCACATCATTTCTGTAGACAAAATTTCGTTGTTCAGCAGCCATTTGCTAGGGATGACTAGAACTTGCTTTTTCTCCTTGTCGTGAACCAAGAGGTACTGTCCTGATTGATGCTAAAAATCAATGCTATAGCGTTAGGAATTATAATTTTATTACATTCATGAACTCAGTATCATTTGTAGTGACTGCGGAACCTTCCTAATTTGTAAAGTACTCTACAATTACAAAAATTGTAAACTCCGCTCTAATTTTCTTGTTATTGATCATCTATGTGTCATTGAGATACATAATACTGATTCTGTATTGTTTTTAAGCTCAGCAGGGATGTAGGATGTACACCAGCTTAGTAGCTTCAGTCTTGGCACCCGGGCAGTATTACAGCCCTCACACAAGTCTATAGTAACTGCTACTGGCCTCAATTTTTATTGTGTGGCGCATATGTATTTGGTACCTCTTTGCACCAATGTTTAAATGTTCAAACAAATAAATATGAAAATAAAGTTTAGTAGCATCCTGTTTTCCAGTGACTCACTTCTTATTGACTAGGAATGGTTCATTTCCTGTCATCTAACGTTTTGGGCATTATGCATATCGATAAACTCAGCTTGTTAAGTAAGCCTTGATCACTGTTTTTTCTGTAGCGACTCCGTACCGCATGTATTTGTTGACATACTAAAATATTTGAAATTAAGCCTTAGGCCGTGAGTGAAAGTCACGGTCGTCTAGAAATGTTTCGTATTTCGCAACAGGATTCAGTGTCAGTTTCGTTGACATTGTTTGCTAATGGTTCAAATTGTGTCAACATAGTCTTGATGCTTATTTTCATGAGAAGGCGCTAACCAGGTTGTTGAACGGAACGTTACACTTATTTTCTGTTTCAGTCTCTAAGACTTCGACAATTACAATTCTCTGCCATCAGTCCATCCTCAGCTACTGTGAAACTATTCGTCCAGACTTGAGTGTAAGTTCTTATGAAATAGAAGGACATCTACTATTTTTATCTATTTGACTGTTAAAACATCTTCAATACTCTATAGCCCACTTTTCCACAGAATAATCTAGTACGGCCGAGAGTAGGGAGTATCCACTTCCTCTCGCAAAATGATCTCACATGGCAACGCCCTGTACAGCCACTCCTTGGGAAGTCCTACTCTTTGACTTCTCGTGGTGAGTGTTAGCGAAATTAAGAGGACGAAAAGCGAATGTCCAGGGCTTTAAACCGGTTGACGGATACAGAGGATCCACCTGAAGGAGTTGAAAAATCCTTGTGACAAATCAGTGGTTTACACGAACTCCAAGATCCCAAGGCAGAAAATTGCGTATGAACCTACTGTTTGTCACCGGTTACCATGGGATTGTATCTTCTAAAGTTGCTCCACCGCCTTTCGGATTAGACCTTTAGGTCGAAGGTTCAGGGTGTGACCCCCTTAGGAAACTACCTGCTTCGGTTTGGGCTCCAAAGCAGTATCTCAATCGTCACACAAATTGAATGATGATGTGTGGAGCATATCTATTCGGTGCATCCTTACATCAATGTTTATTAATAAAATAGCCTACTTAGGTAGTACCTAAATTTTTGCCCCGTGGCCTATAGCTCTTAATATTAAAAGTAATGCAGATGGGACAAGCAAAGCGAACAACTATTAACAGAATGTTCGTGAATAGGTAAACAGTTTTGTAATGCATTCATTTTGGGAAACATTAGCTGACAGTAAATTAAATCTGAAGTGAGCGAAAGCGTTTAACAGAATGGACTATGGAAACTAGTAAATCGTCAGTTTTTTCATTTGTCTATGTCTTCACATAAGAGCACGAATTCCATCAATGAGACAACAAAATAATATAAATCCAAATTTACAAATAGCGGTGAATATTCTAAATTATGTGTATTCTATTAAGAATATCCATAAACATTAGTAATTCCTCGTTCAAAGGCATTCGGAATTAATTTTCTGAACCAGTTGTCCAGTTTTGGTCACTAGAAAAGTCAAGATGAAATCTGCCATGTGTGCAGAACTTCTTTATAGGCCTGTCTATGAACAGTCTTGCAGTTGGCTGTGCAATAGATCGATCCCTCGTCGCAGCAACATCTAATAATTTTGGGTGCGCCTTGATGGTCTTGTAATTTACTCGTTCTCATAGTTCAGCTTTCTAAAAGAGAGACCTCTTGTCAATAATGTGTTCAGTAAAATAGACTAGTGACCAATTGATTAATAGCATTTTCCTGCGTAATGTTCCAAAAATTTGTTTCCCCCATTATAGTAGAAGTTTCAGTTTCATAACCGTTTATTCCATCATGTTACTTTGTTTTGGTTACACTTAGGCGAAGTATTTGGTCCAGTTGATTCTATCTGGTGCTCGAGTTTTGGGTCGTGCATTTGCCCAAGCTGTCAAAGAAGAATACGCTTCAAGTCAAAGAGTTGCTAATGCCCGTCGAAACAATGGGTCTGGTGGCCCTGAACAAAATACTTATGTCCAAAACGCTGGGATCTCACTAGAGGAAGCAAAACAAATATTGAATGTCAAAGATATTCACGATATAAGTACTTTAAATAAACACTATGAACACCTCTTTTCCTCCAACAGTAAAGATAAAGGTGGATCATTTTACTTACAATCTAAGGTATTCATTGGTACATTTTACAATCAACTTTTAATCCAAACGTTTATTTTTTTAGCTTATTAAACGATGATGGACAAAAATGTCTATGGCATACGAACTCTTAAATGCCTACTTCCCATTGTGGTTTTAAGCAAATATAAATATCATGGAGCCAAAGCATATTTATATGTGTACTTAGTTTGATCCAAAAGTTATAAATCACCATTGTGGTTGTAGGCAACTGAACATTTCAGAAAGTCGCCTAATAAAAATGAAAGACATTTTTGTAGACACTTGGTATTCGTTAGCTCATGATCTTGAATAATTTGGTTAATAGAATTATTGTATAGATAATTTTTGTCTAGCTTTGTCATGAGACACTAGGTATTGAAAACTATGCTCTTATCAATTCAATATCTGACTAGTTCTATATTTTTAATATTATGTTACTCGTATTTAGGTATTTCGAGCAAAAGAACGTATTGATGAGGAATTACAATTTGAACAATCGGAACGGCGACGAAATACCGAATCTAAAAACAGTCACCAATCGGGGACTTGAACAAATGTAAAAAATCACTTTGTTTTTGACTAGTTCTGTATATTTAGAAACTTACAGATAAGTCAATATCATGTTTATTTACTTATTAATATGGTTGTATAAAGTTATTGTACAGTATTAGTTGAAGAGAAATTAAAAAAAGCACGATTAATTTTATGTTGTTTCTTTATGAAGTACCATGAAAAGTGAAGAAATTTTATTGCTACGGAAGTTCAGCTGAATAATAAAGCTACTTTGAATCATAAACGAATATAAATAGCTTCTAATTACTGATTAGAGTTTTCAAGTAAAACACTTATTTTCACAACAGTTTCTCTTTGTAATTCACTTTGTCATGATACTTTTTTTCAAATACATAAATTAATACAATGTAAAAATTTAAATTCTCATATGCTAAGCTGATGTCCTGAAAACTTAACAGCATACAAAGGTTTTTGTGGTCAACTATCCGAGAAAATCTGAAACAGGCAATTATTTTTTCAAAGTACGACCGTTGCTGCTACCTTGACGTGGTGGTCGGTCTTGCCTATCGTGATGAATCAATCGAGCTATACTGGCTGGAACAATCGTTCCTCAAGGTCCTACCATGCCAGGCAGGTCGTTTGGAGAGCGGTGAGACTAAAAGCAGCAAACCCAAGGTCTGAAGGCGAAGTCGTACTGCTGACTGTGCAGAGGTGACAGCAGTAATGTGTTTCCTTCAGAAAACCAGCATGACAGCGATGCTACCTTCCCACAAGGAGGGATGGGGTTAGAAAAGGTCGGCCCTAAAAATGCACACCTCGCCTTATCCCATGGATTTCCGTCTCCGGCGGTAAGGTCCTTTGAAGAACGGAGCTAACACAAAAACTACCCACAAAAAGGTCGTGTGTTACCGACCTCAAACAGTTGTCTGTTGGGCACTGTGGTCACGCTCTCGGGTCATTAAGACCACTTCTAACCCAATTTCTTTTTCAGGTACCCCTAGAAGAACCCTTTCACGGTGTGGACAACCGGGAAGTGATAACTGCCCTCATACCTCTAACAGCACTCAAGACCACTGTATTCATAATCAATCTCCTTCTTCAATTCCTACTATTCCTTCTACCTTGACTTGCAACACCAAACTTCCTCTCTCGGTTTCCTCCTCAAGTGTCACCATGGCCAACGATTCTAGTGCGCGAAACGCTGTCCCAGGTCTACTAAAACCTCGCTCCAAACTACACATTGGAGCCTTCAACGTGCGTACTTTAAGTCAAATCGGTCAACAGGCCTCCTTAGCTAAAACCCTAGAATCTCGTACCATTGATGTATGCTGTGTCTCCGACACACGCATACAGGATCCTAGTGTGGTCATTCACTTGACCTCACCTCGCCAAAATGGACAGCCAACGAAATACACCCTCCGTGTGTCTGGCGACCCGTTGGCTAGTTCTCATGGACTTGCAGGTGTAGGCATAGCACCTAGTACAAGGACAGAACAGGCACTACTAGAATGGGTCGTCGTTAACAGTTGCCTATGTGCTGTTCGACCAAATGACTCCATAAGAACACGGAAGGATAGAGACACACGTTGCCTTTTCGTCGTTTCTGCCTACGCTCCCACTGACTGCAGCCATGATGAAGTAAAAGATGACCTTTACAGAAAGATCCCTGAACTTCAAAAAGCTAAGCGCTCAGAAATAGTAGTGGTAGCGGGTGACTTTAATGCCCAGGTAGGCAGCTTAAATCAAACAGAAAGACATTTAGGTGGGTGTTTTAGTATTCCGGCTCAACGAACCGATAATGGTGATCGTCTGTTGCAACTATGCTTAGACAATCGTTTATTTTTAGCAAACACTAACTTTAAACATAAGGAGAGACATCGTCTAACATGGCGACCACCTTCACCAAACCAACGATGGACTCAAATAAACCATATTGTCATCAGTCATCGTTGGAGAGGCTCAATAGAAGATTGTCGCTCGTATTGGAATACTTGTTTAGACTCTGATCACGCTTTAATACGAGCACGTATTTGTTTGCGCCTCACTGGACGCAGAACAACTACACCAAGAAGACCCATTAAGATTGAACTGGAGGACGAAAAAGCCAAATGCGAATTCCAGAAACAACTGAGTTCTGTAAACGAGACTGACCCAGATGCTGCTTGGAAAGACATACGAACAGCTGTGGAAACATCAGTAACATCTATTAGTCATTTAAACCATAGGGCCCAAAAAAACCAGTGGATTTCTTCTAAGTCTATTTCACTGATGGATTCGCGTAAACTCATCCCATCAAGCTCTGAACACGATAAAGAGCGAAAGCAAATCAGATCTAGGTTAACTAAAAGTCTAAGGAACGATCGTGAGTAGTGGTGGGCGGAGACGTACAGCCAGAAGGATGCTTCCAATTAAGCGTGTTACATCCGCAGTATCACCACTGGCTTCTATTCCGAGCCATATCTGATACGTCTCTAGCCACTGTGTTACCCCATATCTCGGATCCCAGCTAGGGAGTGTGAAGAACCAACAGTAGCCAGCCCTTCACAGCTTTCATAGTTCAAGCTGGATAAATGAATATATATTCATGACAGTAAATGTATTCACTGCCCATTCATATACTCTGACGTATATGTAAGCCCGTTAGATAGCTGTCAGTTGTAAGGGAGATCTTTTTAATAAGTTATCTGCATATCCTTGGATTATTTCACATTTGTTATATTATAATCTATCAATATTTGTAAAATACGATAAATTCTTTGTAGTTCCTTGTTTTCTCCTGTGTTACGAGCTGATGTGTGAGCGAGAATGATAATGATTGGTTGTTTTGCTGAGTCAATCATGTAGGCAGTGTGACAGGTGTTATATGTGTTATACATTCCCCTATCCGGATTATTATCGATTGATTGTTCTTGTTGTTGTAATGTGTCGGATTTTGGTTTGGAAATATATTGACGTTCTAGTCAGGTTAATCTCGTGTTCTTGATCTGGATTGTGTTTAAGTCCTGTAGAATAGACACTGAGTGGGAATCTAGTGTAAATATTCGTCCAAGGTAAATTAACGTCCCACATACCTGTAAAAAGTGAAAGGACTGTTATAACAAGAAACCCTAGCGTTATAACTAGTATTTACGTTTATAACACGAGCTAATAAAATTTTGATACTAACGTGTTTAAAAGGCAAAATTGTGGTAAATTTTAGATGGATCGAAATGGATATTTATAAATAATTGGAGTGATATGTAAAGTTTTAGACCTCGTTATTGACATTAAAGGCTAGAATTGATCAGTCTTTGTTGGTATATTTTCATCTTGAGCGCATTGTCTTAGTATTAAGATGCAGTTACCAGTCTTAATATATCTGGATTTTAGTAGTGAATACAAGAAATTAGGTTTCGTACAAGTTTGTACTCGTTAGCTAGAAAAATTGTAGATCTTGGATATAAATTTACACTCGTCAAACGAGTTAGTGGCTATATAGACCTGGGCGATAACTCGTCCGGTTCTAAGCAATAGGTGAACATCAGTAGTGACATATTAACACATCCGGCTGGTGTCTTTCACATGGGATGAAATATAAATTCCTGATTTTACTACCAGCTACGGAACAAACATAAAAAGTGAGAGTGATAGAGTAACAGGTGACCGATTTTAGTGAGTAATTTCTATCTTTCGAAATACACTTTCGGTTTTGTGTTTTATTTCTGTAGTTGCCAGGATTAATAACAGTCAATCAACCGAGATATTTTGTAATATTCTTGATATAATTTACAACAATCTTACTGGTATATATATCTAAGGAATATTACAACAAGCGTTTTAGTTGTATAAACCCGGTTGTTATTCTTCCAAAACGTATTAATATGAAATTCTGAAGGTGAAAAGGATGTACTTGTAGAATACCTAGATGGCAGCAGATAGAAAACAAGGCAGCAAATACGGAAATGAGCTCAAAATCGAGGCAAATTAAGCTGACAAGTGGAAAATACGTCTAGAGTCGAGAGAGTAGAGTAGACAAAACAGGCAAATACCTATGAGGTATCTCTGTTCCTCTTGTTGACATCTTAGATTAACACTATTTTCTCTTCCTTGTTATTTATTATAACTTCAAACTAATTAATAGGTAAATTTAGACGAGAAGTAGACTGTGAATAAAGGTGTGAGTTTCCAAACATTTCCCCTCAAAGTAGATATTTGGGAGAAAGGTCTTTAACGAGACTATAATTTATGGACGAATCAATCAGATTTAGGATAACAGGTTTTGGATTTTGGTGCGAAATTCACTCACCCATTTGACCGAATAGCGTCTTGCCATATTGGCTGATGTCAGTTCGTGATAAAAAAACCGTAAATCTCATTCATAACCATCAAATGTGAATCATAATCCAAATTCTTCAAACTTCTTTATAACCCTCATTTAGCCCTAGTAAGTAGGTAGGCACTTTCGAGGTCACTTTGGTGTTGCTCAAAGGTCGTTCACAAATCATGGTCTCACTTTTTTCCCGTATTAGCTTTTTTGGGTACATTCACATTGAGGTATTTTATGTAAATATATGCGAACATATTGTGGTATAAGACAAGACGTCTCCAAAACCTGACTCACTTATACCTGCCATTTTTAAAATATGACATTATTTACTAAAAGCTAATAGACATGTCAAAAATGTTGGTTCCTGTCGAAAATTTGCTTAATCACATGGTTCAGCGACGTACTACTAGGCTAGTATTGTAGAGATAGTTAAATAAACTTAATTCTCAAATAGAACGAAACGTATATCACATTCCATCGCTGGTCATAATTCCACTTTACTAAAACTTGCAACAATGACAATATCTAGACAAGATGCAAATATGCTTATAAAGACTGACGAGTTACAGCCTTTAGTCATAATTCTTATAGACGGTACGATATATTTAAGTCGAAATTTTAACGCTAGTGTGTCTGTAGATCCTTTTAATTCAATGCCTAGTAGGTTAACAGGTTTAATATGAATTCAGGTGGATTATTTTGGTATTTATAAGTGAATAATATAGAAATTGGCGCAACCGAACGGCAACTCACAACTTGCTATTTATCAAAGGACTTTAAAAAAATCGGTAGTCTTATGTGCACTACGTGTTCATATTATAACCGTATGTGTAACGATATTTAAATCTCTGGTTGTGTTTAGCGAAAGAAACAATTACCTAAAACAGTTAGATGCGGTTTCATGAATCTGACACTAAATGATATTACTATTATGTTGTGGTGCTTGGTACTATGCCCACTTAGGCTATTCTAACTTCTGGACAGCCAATTTATTAATTCTTCTCAAGTCACATTTGGCTTTGTTGATCATTTGCTTACTAACCCTGGCTATTTCTATGTGATCATATGTGTGTAAATTGCTTGCACTATTCATTACGTGTCTGTAACT